AATTCTGGATCCACAGCCCCAGGCTGGGATTAGTTTGGATATTTGGGAATATTCCCTGCAGGAAAGGGTGGCCAAGCATTGGAATGAGCTGCTCAGGGGAGTCCCCATCCCTGGAAGTGTCCCCAAAACCCCAGGATGAGGCACTGGGGGACACATAGGCTCATTTATTAATTTTAAAATTAATTTATTAATCAGTTTGGTTCGTGTTATTAATTTTTCCTGCATTTTGGCAGTTTTGGGTTTCCACAAAGCTTTTTCTTTAGGTTTCCACATTAATTTTCCATTGATTCTATGGAATAATAATCCTCCGTCCTCAATAAATTTATTTTTTTTAATTGGAAAACTTTTTCCTTTCCCTTTTCCCCCAAATTATTTAATGTTAAAATCAGGAAACAGCTCCCGATTTTAGTCCTGGAGAGTTAAATTCCCTTTTTTATTTTTTTCAGGAATTCACACTTCCAAAGGCTTGGAGTGACATCTAGCGACTGCCTGGGACAGGCAGGAAAATTTGGGAATAAATTCCAAAAGGATCAGCAGCAAAATCCCAAAGTTATTCCTGATTATTTATGGGGAAAAAAAGGATAGATTATTTTAATTTTTGAGTAAAGATTCCAAGGAAATCAGGGGGGAAAAAAATTCCCATTAAAATAATTTGGCTTCCCAGGTAAGAATTTTCCAGGGAAAATAAAGGGGAAAGGTGGATAAAATAATGGGAAAGTGAATGTTATTCTGGGAATAAATGGATTTATTTGGAATTTTTGTGGATAAAATAATGGGAACATTTATGCTTTGATGGGAACAAATTGATTTATTTTAATTTTCCAGGGAAAAAAGGCTGAGTGGGATAAAATAATAAGAAAATGGAAGTTATGGTGGGAATAATTGGATTTATTTATGATTTTCCAGGGGAAAAAAGGGTAAAGGTGGATAAAATAATGGGAGAATGGATGTTATTCTGGGAATAAATGCATTTATTTGTAGTTTTCTTGGGAAAATAAAGAGAATACACTGGCAAGATTTATAAATAAATATAATTATAAATAAATATTCACATTACAGGTAATTAATCACATTTACAGACAACATTGATGAACCTCAGATGGCAAATGGATGTTTAAAAAAACCTGGAGTTTGCTGTCATCTTGGAAAATTCCTCATTTGGAATAGGGTATGTTGGGATAAAATATTCCCTGGTAATCCCTAAGCATGCATTTTAATAATAATTATAATAATTGGGTTTAACATGCTAAAATAATAAAGAGTTTTTGCAGGATTTTAGTTTTGTTTTAGGGAAAAAAAGCCTTGAAATTCTCAAAACAGAAAAAACCTGAAGATTTTTTTAATCTTCAATAATTAATTAATTAAAACAAGAGAGTAACAAAATAAAATACCAACATAATCGATCCCTTTGGTATTCCTAAAATTCCTAATTTTGCTAAGAAGCAAAAAGAAAGAGAATTTGGCTTTTTTTTTTTTTTATTTTAAATTTTTCAATTTTTCTTTGCCATTTGTCTCTTCCAGCCAGAGTTGGGAAGGAGGGAATGGAATGGGAATGAAAGTGCAGAGTGCAACAAACACNAAAAAAAAAAAAAAGACATTTAAAAAATGAAATTTTACATTTAAAAAAAAAAAAAAAGACATTTAAAAAATGAAATTTTACATTTACAAAGTAAAAACTGCTCACACTGCAGGAGCTGCAGCTGGCACAGGGGACTGGAAAAATTTTGGAGCAGCTGCCACTGAAAAATGTTGGAATTCCAGGTTTGGAGAGAAATAAATAATGTCTGAGTCCTGTGTGAGCTCTGATAATTTTGGTGCAGCCAGGACTGAGGGAAAAATCCCATCTGTGGATGTGTCACTGATAATTAATTTAATTTTAGTTCCTCTACAAGGAATTTTTGGAGAAAAGAAGGGAATTCTCCCAGCTTTGAGCACCTAAATGTGATTTTTTTTTTTACCGTGCTGAAAAGAGAAATGAAGTTTCTCAAAATTGAATTTTTGGGGTGGGGGGAACTTTTTTTCTCTTGACTGCACAAAGTTCATTTTTATACCTTAAATCCCCATCTCTGGGGATAAAAATGCTTTTTGAACTGCCATTGATCGATTCCTGCTCATTTGTATTAAAAATAAATCTAAATTTGAAGCCTGCAGAGTCTTGGAGCAGCCAGGGAGTTCTTGAGTGTTGGAGGGAAATGAGCTCCAAACAACACCTGGAGGCTTTGCAAAGCCAAAAAAAAAAAAAAAAAAAATCTCCTAAATTAAAATAAATTCCATTTCTGCCAAAATTCAGCCACCTCCCTTTGGAAGCTGCCAGGTGATTTATGTACATTGCCTTTCAAACAGCAAAAAAAGAGACAAATGAACAGATTTAATCATTCCACTCTGTGCCAGAGAGTTCTCCCTGCAGCCATCCCAGGAAAAGCTGATCCCTTTTCCTGCTCCTGTTCCCAGTTTGGGCTCTTCCCTGTGTGCCAAGCTGGCATTTCCTTGCCAGGGAATAAACAGCAGCCTCAGTTCAGTCTTATCAGCACCAAACTTATCGTGACCTTTAGCAAATAAACATCAGAATCTGTTCAAACTTTTCATTCCACTTCTCTCCCCCCTGATTTTTTTAATACTCTCTTTGTTTTGTCACCTTTTATTTGCCTTCAATCCTGGCATTTGACCTTTTTTTCTCTGTGCTTTCTGTCACTTTATTATTTTTTTTTTTTAAGCATCTTGAACCATGCCACGTCAGCAGCTCCCAGGGAGTCCCAGGGTGCCAGAACGAAATCGTGCAAAATCTTTTAAAGAGTAATTAACCCATGACTCCAATTAACTGCAATTCCCTAAACCCAGCCAGGCCTGCATCCCAAAGCCTTTGGGATCGGTGCCCGATGGGAACGATCTGTTCCCAATATTCTGAGGGAGAAACTGAGGCAAAAATTTCCATTTTATCATCTCTTCCCTCTCAGTTCTGCTGGAATTCTGGATCCACAGCACCAGGCTGGGATTTGGGAAGTCTGTCCTTGGATACGGAGTGGGAAATTCCAGAGGTCCTGACTCCAATTAACCGCAATTCCCTAAACGCAGCCATGCCTGCATCCCAAACCCTTTGTGCCCAATGTTCCGAGGGAGAAACCGAGGCGAGAATTCCGTTTGAACGGGATTCTCCGGAGCAGAGTCCATCATCCTGCGGCTTCTTCCCGAGCCTTTCAGGGGATGCCATCCTTCCTCTGGCAGCACTGCGAGGGAGGCACTCCCCAGTCGTACATGTAGGAAAGGCGCAGTTTAACCTCCTCCTTACAGAGCTTCCCTTCCTTCGCCAGCGTCTGGTGCTTCTCCAGCATGTCCTCGATGCTCTGCTTGTGTGTCACGATGTATTTGTTGTTGCAGCCGCGCGATTTGTACTCGGTGTCGAAGCGGGGGTCGTGCACTCTCTTCACGTCGATGGGCGCCAGCCACACCCCCAGGGACACGTCCTCGCTCTGCCACAGGTTCAGGTAGTCCCTGCTGAGGCGCAGGTAGCGCACCAGGTCGGCGGAGATCACGTAGCCGCCGCCCAGCGCGTAGGGCAGGTAATAATCACACAGCAGCCAGGCGCTCTCCTTCCATTTCCCCCCGGATTTCACCCGCCCGCGGCCCGAGAAGAAGCCCCAGTAAAGGCGCCGCGGCTCCTTGGCCCTCAGCTCCTCCACCAGCACATCCAAGCGCACGAAGGTGTCGTCGTCAGCCTTGAGGGCGAACTGGAAGTCCAGGTGCGCATCCAGCCACACGTAGGTAGCCAGCACCTTGGCCGTGAGGTTCTCGTAGGAATCGCGCAGCTCCGGCAGCAGCAGCAGGTCGCGGTGCCGGCTCTGCTCCAGCTCCAGGCTCCGCAGCTCCTCGGCGCTCAGCCCCGCCGTGCCCACCACGAAACGGCTCCAGACGCGGCCGTGAGGCGCCTGCCGAGCCGCCGCCATCCAGGTGCTGCGGATGATGCTGCGCCGCTCGCTGTACTTGGGGCCGCTCATCACCACCACGGCCAGCAAGGCGCTGCCTTCAGCGGCGGGCGGGGGCGCGGCGCGGGCCCCGCGGCCGGGCTGGCTGTGCGGGAGCGCGGGGGGCGCGGGCAGCGGGCGCAGCCCCTCGGAGGTGCACTTGGCGAGGTAGAGCAGGACGGCGGCGCAGAGGGAGAGGCCGCCGAGCCCCAGCGCGGTGCGGTGCCGGCTCAGCCGCCGCAGCGCCTTCATGGCAGCGCGGGGCCCCTCACGGCCGGCGCCGCGGCCACGCCCACCGCGTTTAGGCGGGAACGGGGCTACGGCCACCAGGAGGGGACAAGATTCGTGCAGCAGCGCTCACCGCGCGTCGCTGCCGCGCTGGGGCGGCTTCATGGCTCTCCTGCGCTCGCCGCCTTTTCCTCCGGGAAGCGGCGGTTCCGTCCCTGCTCCGGTCGCGGCTCCCGCGGTTCCTACACCGGGGGAAGGGGCGGGAGAAGGGGTGGTGGCTGCAGCACCTGACGCGGCGGCCGCCATCTTGGGGTAGGGCACCTGATGGCCGAGGAGGCGCCATCTTGGGTTTGGGCGCTGCGCCGTGGCCGTGCCGTGTAGATGGAATCATAAAAGTTGGGATGGAGCTCAAAACCCCTCCAGTGTCACCCTCCGCCATGGGCGGGGACACCTTCCACTACCCCAGGTTACTCCATGCCTCAATGCCCAACCTGGCCTTGGACAATTTCAGGGATGGGGCGCTCACAGCTTCTCTGTTCATGGCAGGCCTTGCCATTAGATGCTATTTAAGGTCCCTTCTGACCCAAACCATTCCATAATCCGATGAAAACAGCAACGCACACACAGCCAGGAAGCAGGAGGCGAACCCCGCGTTCAAAACCGACATAAGGACGGGAACGCCAAGAAAACGCCCCTTTGCCCCCTCACTGCCGGAAATGGCGGCTGCCCTCACCTAAGATGGCGGCCGGGGCATCCCGTGAGGCGAAATGACAAAACTTCCGTCTCCGGGCCGCCTCCCTCCGCCCTGGCAGCGCCGCGGCTCCGTCCGGGGCCGTGCGGGGCCGTGAGGGACCGTGAGGGGCCGTGCGGGGCCGTGAGGGGCCGTGAGGGGCGGCCGGGCCCGGGCTCGGGCTCAGGCTCAGCCTCCCCGCGGCGCTCGGGGCAGCGGCCGCTCCCTCCGGGCCGGCTCCCGGTGAGTGCGGGCGGCTCCTCCCGCGGAGCTCCGAGGGGTTTGGGTTCCTTGGCGCGCTCTCTGCTGGATTGGGGATTTTTTGGGGATTTTTTTAGTCAGGAATTGGGTGGGATGATGCCTGTGGGTCACTTCCAGGGCAGGATATTGGGATTTTGTGGCTCTGTGACAGCTCTGTCGCTGCCTCCTGGCTGTTCCCATCTCCGCTTTCTCTTGGACCTGACCGGATTTCCCTCAATCCTCCCTCTCCAAAAACAACATTTTTTTTTTATAAAGAACATTTTTGGTTGGGGTCTCTGGGATCCTCCCGTGGCTTTTTCTGCATTTTCAAGGATGTTCCTTTCCCAAGTCCTCTGCAGAATGAAAACTAATGCGTTAATTCTATATATTTATTATTTAACAGGCTTTTTAAAGGTCTGACATCTAAAACTGCTCTATTTTTGTGTCGGTTCCTCTGAATTTCTTCTTGTGTGTAGATTTTTTATATTTGTAGATATAAAAGTAAATAGCATAAGATATATATAAAATACTATATAAAGATACATATAAAATTATATATAGGTATATAGTGTGTTATATATAACTATGTATATGTATTACATAGTATATTGTATGTATAATTGTGTATATATAAACAATTATATGATTGTATAGATATAAGTAGATACAAAAATGTGTAAAAATGATTAATTAAATTATTAATTAAACTATTGTATGTAGTATATAATGTATAACATAAATATGTTATAAATATAATAAATAAGATATATAATATATAGTATGTAAGATATATAGCATATAATTGTGTATGTATAAGTATATATAAGTGTATATACAATTGTCTATATTAGTAAATATATGGTATGTTGTATATAATTGTGTGTATATACATAAAGGTGTATGTATAAAAATAAATTATTATAATATATAAACCACTATATAATATATATAAAATATTATGTATAGTAAATATATTATGTAAAATTGTGTATATATAAGTGTATATATAGATGTATATATAGTTATGTATCTATTAGCAAATATATAGTATATTATAGATATATAATAGTATATATAGAAGTATATATGTAAATATATGTATATAAATTACTAGTTACATATAATATGTAAAACTTTATACTATATATAACATTATGTATAATTGTGTATATATACACAAATATACAGTATATTAAATATAATTGTCTATATAGAAGTATGTTATATATAACTGTATATGTAGAAGTATATTATAAATAATTGTCTATATAGAAGTATGTTATGTAATTGTATGTAGAGAAGTATGTTATCTATATAACTGCATATATAGAACTGTATTATATACAATTGTATCTATAGAAGTATCTATATGTAAATATTTGTATGTAAATAAATTAATACTATTATGTATAGGTTATTTTAGTTTGTAATTGTTCATTAATGTCCTCTTGCTTCAGAGTTTGGTTTTTTTTTCCCGTTAGATCACTTCACCCACTTTGGCCTCTTTCACCAGACCTTAATTAATTTTTTTTCTCTATTTTTCCTTTCAGATCTGTTACCCGCGGGCGGTCGCAGCCCCGAGAGGAGGAGGATAAAGGCGAGCAGGGCGCCATGGAGCGGCGGGCGGCCGTGCTGTGCGGCCTGGCCTGTGTGTCCGTGTGTCTGTCCGTGTCCGTGTGTCTGTCCCTGTCCCTGTCCCTGTCCCTGCTCCTGCCGCCCGTGGGGGCGCGGCCCGCCAACACCTCCGGCCACAGCGACGCGCAGGGCATGCAGGAAATGCAGCAGATCAAGCAGGACATGCAGCAGGGGATGCAGCAGGAGCTGGTGCCCCCCGAGCACCTGAACGGGGTGAAGCTGGAGCTGGACGGGCGCCTGAACCGGGACTTCCACCCGGAGCTGTTCCTGGGCAGGGCCCGGCAGGGATTCGAGCGCGGAGAGCGCGACGGCAACCGGCGGCGTCTGGGACACATCTTCAACAGGTACGTACATGGATATATATATATATAAATATATAAATATATGGATATATACACATCTTCAACAGGTACGTACATGGATATATATATATATATAAATATAAATATAAATATAAATATGGATATACACATCTTCAACAGGTACATCGTGGATATACATAAATATAAATATATATAAATATAAATATAAATATGGATATACACATCTTCAACAGGTACATCGTGGATATACATAAATATAAATATATATAAATATAAATATAAATATGGATATACACATCTTCAACAGGTACATCGTGGATATACATAAATATAAATATATATAAATATAAATATATGGATATCCACATCTTCAACAGGTACATACGTGGATATAAATATAAAAATATATATATAAATATATAAATATATGGATATCCACATCTTCAACAGGTCAGGGACACTCTGAGATAAATATAAAATATATATATAAATATATAAATATATGGATCTACACATCTTCAACAGGTCAGGGACACACAGAGATTTATATAAAAATATATATAAATATATATAAATATGTGTATACACATCTTCAACAGGTGAGGGACACACAGATAAATATATATACACATATGTATATAATTAAAATGAATTCTAAAAATTTAATTAAAAATTAGTTTTCAAAAATTAAAAAAAAAATAATTAATTTTTAATTTTTTTAAAAAAAAATGTTAACATTTTTTTAAATGTTAATGAAATTTTTAAAATGTTAAAAATTTAAAAACGGAGGGTTTTAATGGATGTTTTCCAAATTTGGAAATTTTAATTAGTATTTTAAAATTGGGTATTTTAACGCTTCAAAATTGAGAATTTTCCATTTCAAAATTGAGAATTTTGCTATTTCAAAACGAGGGATTTTAATCCACATTTTTCACAATTGGGGATTTTAAGTCATGGTTTCAAAATTTGGGAATTTGAATTCAAATTTTCAAAATTTGGGAATTTGAATTAAAATTTTCAAAATTTGGGAATTTGAATTAAAATTTTCAAACCTGGATTTGTTTCAGCACTTTCAGACACCAGGTGGCAGAATTTGCTTTATTTGCATTTTGGAGTGAGAAATTCATTTAATTAAAATTCATTTAATTAAAATTAATTCAATTTCTACCAGATCAGGGAGAAACTGAGGCTTCCAGAGCTTTATTTGCTGCCAACTTTTCATTAATAAATAGAATTTCATTCAAATAATTATTACATTTTAAACTGAAATTTGATTTTTTTTCATTTTTTTGGGGGTTGTTTGCACCTCCCTGGTGTGAGTGGTGATTTTAAACTAAAATTTGATTTTTTTTCCTTTTTTTTTGGGTTGTTTTCACCTCCCTGGTGAGAGTTGTGATCTTTAAACTAAAATTTGATTTTTTTTTTTTTTCGTTTTTTTGTTTGCACCTCCCTGGTGTGAGTTTTGATTTTAAACTAAAATTTGATTTTTTTTTTCCTTTTTTTAAATTTTTTTTTTCATTTTTTTGGTGTTGTTTTCACCTCCCTGCTGTGAGTGGTGACTTTAAACTAAAATTTGATTTTTTTTTCATTTTTTTAGGTTGTTTGTATCTCCCTGGTGTGAGTTGTGATTTTAAACTGAAATTTGATTTTTTTTTCATTTTTTTCTTTTTTTTTTCATTTTTCATTTTTTTCATTTTTTTGGGGGTTGTTTTTTAAAACCCTGGTGAGAGTTGTGATTTTAAACTAAAATTTGATTTTTTTTTTTCTTTTTTTTCCTCGTTTTTACCACCCTGTTGTGAGTGGTGACTTTAAACTAAAATTTGAATTTTTTTTCATTTTTTTTAGGTTGTTTTTCATTTTATTTTTTCACATTTCATTGACATTTCCATGCAAATCAGATGTGGAACAATTGGAGTTTCAATAACAACAATCAGAGATAACAAAGCCCTGCCTGGGGATTTTCAATTCGGGTTTTGGGGCTTTTTTTGGTTTTTTTGTTTTTTTTTTAAATTTGTTTTGGTTTTTTTTAATTGAACAAAGAGTGGGTTGGGGATGCTTTAAATAGAATTTGAAATGGTGATAAAATTAAATCTGATTTTAATGATATTTGAAATAGAATTTGAAATGGTGATGAAATTAAATCTGATTTTTAAATGATATTTTGAATTATAAAAAATAGGTCAGAGGTGTTTTAAATAGAATTTGAAATGGAAATGAAATTAAATCTCTTTTTTTGTGATATTTTAAATAGAATTTGAAATGGTGATGAAATGAAATCTGATTTTTCAGTGATATTTTGAATTATAAAAAGTGGATTTGAGATGGATTAAATAGAATTTGAAATG